TAAAAACATATGAGACGCAGTGAAAAGGAATAAACCTCCACAAATTCGTGACGTGTTTTTTAAAAGTTTAAACTGTTTTAATTTTGCATGGCTTTCTATACATCTCTTCTGTGAGAGCGCAGCAGTCGTATTTGTCCATCTAAAAATGCGCTGAATATGCGTTCTGTGTGAATGGTAAAGTTTAATTTTTAGAGCTCAAGGACTGTACAAATCACTAACACTAACTATGACCTCTAATATTAGTGATGGCTGACTTAAAACACATTGAATAATTGTTGTGTAAAACACCAGGCTGCTCTAATGTTGCCCAAAAAGACACCGGAAGTTCCTTGGATTTGGCTCTCGACTGCAGTAAAAGCACATTTTATACCTCAGCGCCACTGGCATCGTGTGTTTCTGCTTAGTACTTTTAATATGACTTTTAATAGCAAAGTTCCCCCTCAGGCAGCGAGATGAACTGGGTTAATATACTCACTCTTCAGTCTACGTCGACCATGACCAATATGTGTGTGTGTGTGTGTATGTGTGTGTGTGTGTGTTCCTAATATAATACAACCTGCAAAAGCCAACAACACTGAATGTCAGAGTTTCCATAAACATAACACACACAATTACAGCAATAACACAAACGCTGTCCTGTGGTTTCCGTATATAGGTGCACATTACAGAGAGACCTGCTAAACAAGGTGACGGGACACTTGAGATAAATTAACACTAATTACCAAATCCATCAATTGCAGGCTCAGCCTAAAACAAGACACCAGCATCCCATAATTCAGCACATATCCTGTGACTGTTTGCTCACAGAATGTAACCTGCGCTCTAACTCTAACCAAGCAATTAAACTTCATTATAATCAAACATGATCGTTGTATCCGAGTGATCAGGCTGTTGAGGATCTGGGCAAGTTGATAATTGCTGTGAATGGAATCGGATGACAAGAATAGCATCCCACCCTCGGGCGCAAACAGAGCCTGACAGTTGGGAAAATTTAAAAACGGGACTAAATATCGCTAAATCTGCTTGGCTTTCTGTCACAACACAGTCCATAAAACAAATGTTCATGCAAACATGACTAAAATGCAAGATGCATGCCAGAAACCAGCATTTTTTATTCTTTTTTGCGATATGATCAATACAAAACACATCTTTCACACTCACTCAAATAAAATATGGAAGCCTAAATTTAAGATTTATGTATTTGAATTGCATATAAAATATACATCCGTTTGGACTGCAGTTTTAATATAAACAAACTATAAACTAATAAACTTAATGTGATGCAAATAAATAAATAAATAAACATAGCATAGTTTATAATTAATTATATGCATCTACACGCATTTAATAGAAACAAACTATAAAATTAATATGATGCAAATAAATAAACTAAAATTAAATAAATGAAAAAACATGGCATAGTTTATTATTAACTGTACGCATCTTTATGCATTTAATACAATCTATTAAACATAATGTGATGCAAATAAATAAATGAATGAAAAAAAACATGGCATAGTTGATTCTATGCATCTATTTGATTACTTCAATCATAAAATTATTTTTACAATGCATATATGCTTAGAATCGGCATGAATCTGTTCATTGTGAAAACAATTAAATTTATTCAGTTATTAAAATATAAGAGATTGAAAAAAAAAAATTTATTGATGATAAACAAACTAATTAAATACATTTTTTTTGTTTAAAACAGTAAGTTAGTAAAAAACTTTGGTGTAGAAACTATTTTCACTTGTAAATTTTACAATTAATTACAAAGAAATTGCAAGTAACACATTGAATTGAACATGAAATTCTAAAGTATAAAAATTTTTATTTTATTGCTAAATGCACTCCAATGATATTTGTTTTGTCTAAATTCAAAAAATTATTTTTACAGTGCATTAAATAAATCTGACCTGCTTCATTTGACTAACAAATATGCATCACATTAAGTTTATTCGTTTTTAAATATTTTTAGAAACACAAGCGTCCTCTTTTACTCAAGTCACCTGGAGGCGAGAGTGAGGACAAATCGCGGTCACTTCCTCACCGTATCGGCCCATCTCTCCCTTCAGGAGAAAAATCACATAGCTTTGCTGAACAAGAAAAGGCTTTTTAGAGATGCGCTGCCCTCCATTAGGGTCATCCTGCTGCCATCTCTACATATCAACTCTATTTCACTCCAAAACCCGAGTCCTGACCCCTCGCCTGTTCGAGGGCTGTATGCCATTGTAAAGCTGGAATGCATTGATCCGTCCGGGAGACGACGGTCTGATAAATGTGCGGATGAAGAGGCGTGCCGGCATTCAGATAGCATCAGGTGTTTCCGAAACAAACCGCTTTATCAGAGAGGAACAACTGCTGTCAACACTACACACTGGCACACAAACAACCAATAAACACACTAGCGTATGAGAGTATTATGATATATACCACCAATTATTATTCTAGTAACATGGCATTCACATGCTACTCCATGGCACCATGGCAATACTACAGTAAATGTACAAAAAAAACACATATTTGCTGTGGTACATGTCCAGAAAAACATGACATTTCCATGGTAAATGTGCAAAAAACTCAAAATACCATGACATTACTAGAGTACATATTCAAATATGGTATTATCATGGTATTCTTATAATATTATTATATTAATTTACCATGGTAAAAAATTTCATGACATATAAAAAATACAATGACTTTACCATGGTAAGTGTCCAAAAAAAACATGGTATCACCAATGGTTTTCCCATAGTATTTGTCCAAAAAATTGTGATATCATGGTACTCCAAGAAATACAATGACATGACCATGGAATATATTAAAAACATGGTATTATCTTTTTTTTTTTTTTTTTTTACTTGCAATCAAACTAATGATTGTCACGTTAATTTACCATGGTATTTATATCATATCATACTTTGTGAAATTTAAAACAGTAAAATTGCATTACCAATGGTAAATATATCCAAAAAACATGGTATCACCAAGGCACATATCTAGAAAAACAGGCTTTTGCCATAGCATTTGCCCCAAAAAAATTGCGATAGCATGGTACTCCAAGAAATACCATGGCATTACTATGGTATATATTAAAAAGCACGGTATTATCATGGTACTTTGTTACATACAATGGTACTGAATGATTACCATATTCATTTACCATATTATTTGCACCATACCATGTGGTATTTAAAAAAATACAACGGCATTGCCATGGTAAACGTCCAAAAAACATGGTATTGCCATAGTATGTGTCCAAAAAAATTGCAATATCATGGTTTTTCAAGAAATATAATGAAATTATCATGGTACATATTTAAAAAACATGGTATTATCATTGTACTTTGTCACATACAATGGTAATAAAAATGACCGTGTTAATCTACCATGGTATTTACATCATACCTTGTAGCGTTTCAAAGAATACAATGGTATTGCCATGGTAAAAGTACAAAAAAACATGGTATCATCATAGTACATGGCCAAGAAAACATGGTATTGCCATAGTATGTGTCCAAAAAATGTGATATCATGGTACTCCAAAAATGCCATGACATTACATTACTATGGTACATATTCCAAAATAATGGTTTTATCATGGTACTTTGATACATACCATAGTACTGAAATAGACTGCCATATTAATTTACCATGCATGATACTGCATTTAAAAGAATGCAATGGCATTACCATAGTGCATGGTAATTCATTGTAAGTTTTTGATATTTTCATAATGCATACTGTTATAAAGAGCGTCCTCATACCTAATGATGTCGTCGTTGTGTCCCAAGTAAAACTTCTGTGTGTGATCTCTGGTGTTGTAAACCACTCCGACTCCAGCCACGAAATACACGATCTCCTTCCCCGCGGTGTAGTACAGGTTATTCCTGCACTGATGGCCTCTGTATCCATGAATCCACTCCAGCCTCAGCTGACAGCGGGGAGCCGTCTTATCTGCCATGCTCTCGGGATCTGCAATGGTCTATCATTCACAAAAGTGTCATTTAGTGGACTTTCTTTGGGTGTCGAAGACACAATGGTGATGGGTCACCTCTTGTAGGGTTGGAACCTACAGCCTTTTAGACACCGGTTCAGATCTTTAACCACTAGGCAACACCAACCCTAAGGCACTGCCACCATTCAACGCCCTCTTGAAGTTCATGCATGCAGCACGGGCATCATAACTGGAACACAAGCTGGGTCACCTGTACAGGGAAGGGTGTCTGAAGATCCCAATGGGTGGCATGAAGAAATCAGGCTAAAATGATGGGAAAATGCTGAAATTTGGATCCAGATTAAAGGGGATGCAGTCAAGAGTGATTACAAATGTTCATACTGAAATAGTTGGTCACACCTACCAGCCATTGCATGAGTTTCCAGAGTATAAAAGCCTTTAAAAAGCACGCTGATCTGTGCATTACCGTTAAAAACAACTCTAGCAGTTGATCTTGATCCAAAAGCATCTACAACACGCTGGACACCTTCAACACACTGAGGTCTGGACGTCTTTAAAGGGCTGCAGAGACTTCAGGTCTTCACCGAGGAGGCAAAGCTCAAAGCCATCGTGCTATTAATCTTCTCTAAAGGGCAGAAGTCGGCGTGTTTGCCTCCAGGATTTCAGAAAACCTCCACAATTTCAGCCGTCAGACGATTCTCGACCGCCCAGCATCGCGCCGCTGATCAGACCTTCCCCAAAAACGTCTTCATGCTCTTCAACTTTCGCCTGGAGATCTTCAATTCCCGGTGATCCTCAAGCAAACTCTTCCATTCCTCGCGTGATCCGGATCACTGAATCATCAGCAACCGGGTGTGAGATACAAATATCCTCATTCTTAAACGGAGGAAAAGAGCTGCGCGAGCTGGTTTAGGTGGATTAATCCCTCCACCGCGAACTCAGCGCAGCGTTGAGGGAGTAAAGGCGCTTTGAGTTGAGTTATTGACGTAATATTTTGGAGAATATGATTTCTGGTTTCTAGTAAGCCATTCGGCTTGGTTACTACGACGCCTTGTGGCCCGTTTCCGATTATGCCGACCAGCGGAGAAAGCGGCGCCGCGCAAGGAATCATGGGACTTGTAGTTCTAAACGGTCTCCAGTGACGCTCGGCCGCGCAAAAATGACTTCAAATCCCATGAGCGTTCAGCACGCGCTGTCCAAGGTGCTGAACATACGGGTCTTCAGCCAAGAACATTCTTACCCTATCCATCTGAGAGCCAGCAATAAGGTTTTGCTATATATTATATTATATTATATTATATTATATTATATCAACACATTCATTTTGTATCATTTTTTTTTACACAACAATATGTATGAAGATACCAAAAGCATATTAGGAACAGCTAAAAGAAGCGCTAGAAGGAACACTATTGTATTTCTAATGGTATTTTTTTATAATAATTTACACAACATTTAAAACAATAAAAAATATAATAATAATTGTTATTAATTTTTAATTAAAATGATAAAAAATATATATATAAATGAATAAAATAATAATTAAAAATTATTCAAATACAAATCCACGATTTGTAGATCATATCGGATAAAATGAAATTTTGAAAAACAAGCAGAAGTGTTGTTTATCGTTTTTAATTTTTAAAGGATTCCTGCTTGATTCCGATTGGATTTCGAACTACAAATGTCCACAGCAATGCATTACTATGTAAACGCGCTAGTCTAATGGCTAAACGCTGTGCTTGCATTTAGATGTGAGTGGACATGTTGACGGTCACGGAAGGAAATCCCGAGCCCACTGATGCTGCTTAAGACGCATTCACGTGACTACAGAGCTCAGAGCATCTGTCGCGATCTTAATACTTGAACAATGGATTCTGGCATTGGTGGGGACAGCGGCAGACAACAGACATTCAACTGTTTGAATTAATGCCAGGGACAATTTAGTAGTGTTAGGGACATCTCATAGCGTTCCTGCTCAATTCTACAACAAGCGATGTCCGACTCTGGAAACTATAGTTCTCTCCTTAAATATGAAGAGATCAAACAACAGATTCATGAGTTCATCCCAATTTCAGAAAAAGCTTATGGACGTGATTATAATATTAGTCAGACACTGAAGTGAGCTGCTGTTTTGGTCTCTTCTGAGGAAGATTAATTCACTTGTTTGGCAATGCACACACACAGAGAAATTTTAGTCAGATTTTTTTTTTATGTTCATCTAATCTTATTTTGTAAGTGATTTTTCTTTCTGTTTCAAAGATGTTTTCTTCGGATTGTTTGGGTGCTTGAAAGAGAATAAAGACAACAATGAATTTGTGTTTCCTGCTAGCTCTAAACCAACAACACGTACTGTTTACTTAAGTAGACAGAAACTCCATAAAACCAAAAATTAGTGATCTAAGACCTATAAAGTTTGTCTCATTTCAATGATAGGGCATTATGTAATTGGCTATGATTGTGTAAGGCTGAGTATTCTAATGATTATACAGATTGACAGTCTCAAATATATGAATAAACCGTGTTTAAATAAGTGTAAAATCAGAGTAAAATGGCATTGCATTGCACTGATTGTACCTCATGATATCAGTCTCTTGGTTTGGGGCGAGTCTAGGTAAAACCGGTTTAAACCCCGGTGATTTAATTAGACTGTAATCTGATTACTGGAGGACTAACTATCAACAAATGCAGCCCAGGAAAACTTGGCTCTGAGACTTAATGGAGTCTCCTTCCCTAGATAATTCGAGATATTGAACAGATCTTTCCCAGCGGGTTAGAGGATGTGAGATGCTCTTTTAGACAAAGCTTAAGTCACATGACAGGAAGTCGTGCTGATTGTGAGTGTTCTGGTGTGAAGGTTGTGCTGGTGTGTGTGATGTTGTGTTTCTTGTCCTTCGCTGAACCAGCAGGTTCAAACCTCATGAACTAATCACAGACATATGGAGATCACAGATGGTGTGTGTGTGTGTGTGTACCTGTTTTTCTATTCTGGTGGGGACTTAAACCTGAATACACACAGACTCATGGGGACTCGTGTCACGGTGGGGACCTAAATTGAGGTCCCCACGGGTAAACAAGCTAATAAATCACACAGAATGAAGTTTTTTGAAAATCTAAAAATGCAGAAAGTTTCCTGTGAGGGGTAGGTTTAGGGGTAGGGTTGGTGTAGGGCAATAGAATATACGGTCTGTACAGTAGAAAAACCATTACGCCTATGGAGAGTCCCCACAAGGATAGCAAACCAGACGTGTGTGTGTGTGTGTGTCGCTTTACAACTTATGAGGTGTCACCCCTAAAAGCTTTACAGCAACACACAATAGAGAAAAAAAAATAATCAAGATCTCTTTAATATCCTGATTGTTTCTCCAAGACAGCAGTGAGATTAAACAAAGAGTTTGCTGCTCAAGACACATTTATTACTATTATCAATGTTGAAAATAGTTCTAGCTTAATATTTTTGTGGAAACTGTGATACATTTTGTTTTTCAGGATTCTTTGATGATTAGAAAGTTCAAAAGAACAGCATTTTTTTTTTTTTTAAATATGAATATTTTTGTAACATTTTAAATGTCTTTATTCTTTAACTTTGTCATTTTCTCAATTTAATGCATCCTTGCTGAATAAAGGAAAAAAAAAAACTTAGGCTACCAACCTTAACATTTTGAACAGCAATATGTACAGGTTAATAAACATTAAAAGTGTTGCACTACCATTCAAAAGTTTGGGGTCAGTATGATTTTTGAATGTTTTTGACTGCATTCATTTGTTTAGAAATACAGTAAAAATAGTAATATTTAGAAATATTATTGCAATTTGAAATTTCAGCATTTGTTTGTTTAAAAAAAAAACAGTAAAATAGCAATATGTGACCCTGCAGCACAAAAGCAGTCTTAAGTCGCTGGGGTATATTTGTAGCAATAGCCAACAATACACTGTATGGCTCAAAATTATCGATTTTTCTTTTATGCCAAAAATCATTAGGATATTAAGTAAAGATCATGTTCCATAAAGATATTTGGTAAATTTCCTACCGTAATTATATCAAAACTTAATTTTTGATTAGTAGTATGTGTTGCGAAAAACTTCATTTGGAGAACTTTAAAGATGATTTTCTCAATATTTTGATTTTTTTGCACCCTCAGATTCCAGATGTTCAAATAGTTGTATCTCGGCCAAATATTGTCCTATCATAACAAACCATACATCAATGGAAAGCTTATTTATTCATATAAATCTCAATCAAAAAAAAAATAGACCCTTATGACTGGTTTTGTGGTCCAGGGTCACATATTAGCAAAACTAAAAAAAAAAAAACTAAAACTGCTTTTGCCTGTGCACAGGAATGATTACACACAAAGAGAAAGGGTGGTAGCGATGAGTGGGCCTTAAAGTAGACATTCACCCTGTTAAAGAAGCGCACAGGGATTAAGATGATGGAAATTTTAAAACAAAAACAGAGTAGATGATGCAAGAGGCACAAAATCATCACTCTCTGGGGTGCATGTAGAAAATTCCATCAGTACCGTACATTTGATTTATTCTAACAAACGTCTAAACCTTCCATTTTCCAAGACTGACCACTGCACATATTATTAAATATTATTGCAATTCTTATCTGTACGATCAAAAATGACAGAGTATTTTTAGTTATTTTCGCGGTCATGAAGAAAATACGAGACAGACCACACGTTGCGGGCTTCGACCCCTTAGAGGGTTCAAATACATTCTATTTGAATACATTTTAAAACAGCATTTATTTGAATTGAGATTGGAAATCTTTTGTAACTACATAAATGTCTTTACTGTCACTTTTGATCAATTTAATGATATATTTAATTAAATGTATAAAAGTATTAATTAAAAAACGTACAGATCCTAAAACTTTGAATAGTAATATGTACAGATTATTATTAAAAGTAGGCCTACTGCAATACCATTCAAATGTTTGGGGCTGGTAAAAAAAAAAAAGTTTTGAAAGAAATCTCTACATATTTGCCTAAAAATATAGAAAATCAGTAATCTTGTGAAATATTATTACAATTTCAAATAGGCCTAGCTGTTTTTATTAGAATATATTCAGATAACACATTACAAGTAACGCGAGTTACGTAATCAGATTACTGTTTTAAGTAACTAGTAAAGTACCACATTACTTTTTAATTTATAAGGAAATATCAGAGTTACTTTTTCAAATAAGTAACTCCAGTTACTCTGTTTCCCATGTATTGACTGACAGCTCTCGTGTTGCCATGTTGAGAGAAATTGGGAGAAATTGCACAAATAAGTGCAGAGCGATGTGTGAACATTATGTTACTGTAGTTCTAGACTAAATATGAACATGTATTTACTCATCTCACCTGCACACAAACAGATCCAGTATTCCTCAAAATCAATAAAAACAGCCAAATGCAAACTCAGAATATTATACAAACCTGCAATAATTAAATATGTTAAATAAGACAAATATTATTTATGTATTTAATCCCATTTTATTAACCAATGTTTTTGCTACTGACCTTCGATGGTCCAATTCAACCATACTAAGCAAAAATGACACATTTGTTTAATTTGTGTTATTGCTGAATAGTGTTGAACTTTGAATAGAAGCTGAACTTCTTCTCCTGCGTCGTATTCTTCATGCTGCGCCCTCTACTGTACAGACGTGATTTTACATTTCCTTCAGCCTGAGGCGTATTCATTTCACTTTTACATTTCTAAAAGAACTTTTTTATATTAAAAACAAGCAAGCAAGCCCTGCCCAGATTTAAAAAGTAACGTAACTAACGTAATTAGTTGCTTTTTTAGGGAGTAACGCAATATTGTAATGCATTACTTTTAAAAGTAACTTTCCCCAACACTGAATATATTTTAAAAGGTAATTTATTCATTCGATGCAAAGCTGAATTTTCAGCATCATTACTCCAGTCTTCAGTGTCACATGATCCTTCAGAAATCACTCTAATATGTTGATTTCTGATTATTAAACAGTTGTGCCGCTTCATATTTTTGTGTAAACTTGTTTTTCAGGATTCTTTGATGAATAGAAAGTTCTATAGAACAGCGTTTATTTAAAATAGAAATCTTTTGTAACATTCTAAATGTCTTTACTGTCACTTTTGATGCATCCTTGCTGAATAAAAGAACTGATTTCAGATCTCAACTAGTCTCCCAAGTGAAATAAACAGACACAGAATGACACGACACGAGTGTAATGTTTAAAAGCATTTAATGACATCGCACATATTTAACAGGGCAGGGAGGTTAAAGTCTACAGGTGCAGTTTCATACATCTGAGCGTCGGCCGGAGGATCTATAGCGCTCAGGACGCCCGACATCGCCAGGATTTCATTCCTATTATGATGCTTTTGATTGTGCAGTAGATGAAAATCTCATTACAATAGATACAGTGACGGAGGGGATGCGCACTATGTATCAAAGAGCAGGAGAGCGGGATGAAGCCCAAACGAGAAAACAAAGAGAAAAAAGAGAATGCTCAGTGCTATAGCCCACAAGCAAGTAACCGTATTCATATATTTTCTTTTTTTTTGTTCTTTTTGTACTTTTTTAGCTGGAGTAACATTACCTTTTTACCAGTAAATGTTGCACTGTTCACTTAACATTGATGCTTTAAAGTGTTTATAATACATCTAATTTTTATACTCTTTTGTACTAGAATTATCTGAAACATATATTATGATAAAACCCAAGAGAAATGACAATTAAACGAACGAAAAAAAGAAAAAAAAGCATGACGTCAAATGATTCGGGTTACTAGTTCTCTGTATATAGCAAACGTTCTTACAGCTCGTGAAAGCGTTTGGTACGACCCACCTTGATCGCATGACACAAGTCTACCATGCCTTCAAGCCAATGTTAATATTAGTTGATCAGCTTATAGTCGTTAAACGGCGAATCTGACGTTAACGTGGAATTGTATTGGTTCAATGGAATCGTTTCGAAGCATCACTGTCAACGAAGAGAGACTCGGCGGATCTCCGAGACAGCCTCATAAAAATTGAGGAAATGTTTTAAATATCCAGACACCTCAATGGCACACAGTTACAAAAAACGAGCGATAGCAACAGTCGGAATTCAAAATCAACCACCATAGAAACGTAAGAGCGTAAAAAAAAACGTTCCGATCGCCGGCGTTCCCGAATCGCGACACACTCTTGCGTTTTGTACAACTTTGGACCCAATTGGCGGGCTTTCAGGCACAGAGTGTGGCGTCTTTATGAGCTTTGCATGCTGGGATATCACTGGAGGAGGTGGGCGGACACAAACGGAAAGTCGTAAAAGAATCGAGGGAATGAGCCGATCGAGCGATCGTTTCGGACGCCTACTGCTTCTTCTTGCTGAAGAGACTGAAGCGTTTCTCCTTGTCTTTCTCGCGCTTGCCGGGGCTGGATTCGGTCGTCAGGGTGACAGTTGCCGGGAGCGTGTGAGCGTGGCTGGAGGCCGGCGTGCTCTGGTTGCTAGGCGTGATCTCTGTTTTCTCGGAGGACGAGGAGCCGCTGCCGGCGTTCTGAATGGCCTGGATCCATGTGTTCATCTCCTCCTGCAAACACCACACAGTTCATCAGGCATAGTCAAAAAACTATCAAATACATACATCTGTGCAAGACATGCACTCTTAAAAATAAGGGCTCTTTATTGGCATTGATGGTTCCATAATAACATTTAACGTTCATAGAAACTTTCCATTCCACATATGTGACCCTGGAGCACAAAAGCAGTCTTAAGTCGCTGGGGTATATTTCTTTTATAGATTATTAAAATGTTTTTCACACTAAGAAAAAAAAAAGGTTATTTTAAGAATTGTTTACTGGAAGGTTCTTTTTGGAACCAAAGATGGTTCTTCTATGGCAGTGGTTCCCAATCCTGGTCCTGGAGAACCCCCAACACTGCACGTTTTTGGTGTCTCTCTTATGTGACACTCACATTTGAGGTCTTGGACCAGTGGTCTCAAACTCAATTCCTGGAGGGCCACAGCTCTGCAGAGTTTAGCTCCAACCAGCTCCAAATCACACCTGCTTGGAAGTTTAACCTTGATTAGCTGGATCAGGTGTGTTTGATTAGGGTTGGAGCTAAACTGTGCAGAGCTGTGGCCCTCCAGGAATTGAGTTTGAGACCACTATCTTGGAGTCTTCACTAATGAGCTGATGAGTTGAATCAGGTGTGTTTGAATAGGGAGACATCTAAAATGTGCAGTGTTGGGGGTTCTCCAGGACCAGGATTGGGAACCACTGTTCTATGGCATTGCTGCAAAAACCCCTTTTGGAATCTTGATTTTTATGAGTGGATATTGGTGTCATACAATGTTGCAGGCATCAGGAATTTACTTATTGATATTAATCCCATATACATTGGGGGAAAAGTGTGTAAAAAAATTCTCAAAAAATTACAAAGAAATGGCAAGTAACATTAAATTAAACTTGAAATTTTAAAGTAGAACAACTGAAATTGTATTTTCTTGTAAAAGATACTACAGTAATTGATTTTCTGGACCATCTTTATCGAGTACTTTTTCCTCAAGCCACATAAAAATTTTTTTTGTCAAATACTTCAATTGAATTAATTGTTATTCAACTGAATTGAATAACGATCTGAACAAGTGTTATTCTAAGGTTTATTTATATGTTGAATGACTTTTTATGTTTACAATATTTTAGTTTAATTTTCAGTAATTTTGGAATGTGATTTTTCTAAATATTTCTATAGCTTTACTTTGTTCTATTTACCTTATTAATTTATTTCAGTTTATCTTTTAGTAATTTTGTAATGTGATTTGGACATTTAAAAAATATTTTTATTGTTTTTTTTTATTAATTCTATTTATTTAGTTTAACTTTCAGCAATTTTATAATGTGACTGCCATTTTATTTGTTTTATATTTCTATATAGCTTTATTTTGTTTCATTTATTCTATTTACTATCAATTACTTCAGTTTTAGTTTTATTAATTTTAGAACTTAAACTTATTTCAGTTAGTGTTTTTTTTCATGTTTGTTTAATATTTTTATTTAATTTCATTTCAGATTTATTTCAATCACCAAAAACTATTCTTAATAGTTTTAGTTAACAATATTTAGCTGAACAATTATGACTGTTGCAAATAAAACAATAATAATAAAAAAAATTGCAAAATTAGCAGTAAATAATCCATAATTTAAAACAAAAGCACAGTTTATCATTCCGTCTGTCTGTCTATCTATCTTTCTAAGATCAGTTGCTGCAAAGTGCAGATGAATTACATATTTGATTATAAAATCGAATAATGTAAAGTTAATGGATTCTTTTTAGTCTGTTTTCTCATATGAAGGTTTCAAAGCTTGAACCATGTGAACCAAGTGAAGCATGAACTGCAAATGTTTGCTCATGCTGTATGAGTTCTGATGATAAAAGCAGACTTACATCATCTTTGGCTTGGAAGAGATACTCGTTTCCATCAGTAACTCTGTGAGGAGAAACAGCAGCTTCAGTCACAGCAGAACAACATCATTAAACAGCAATCACATGACTGCTGCTGGGATCTGCTGCTCACCTGAGCTTGAAGACGTGCTTCTTCTTCTTGTAGTCGACGGCCACCTCGCAGACGGCGTCCTTCAGGCTGACGGGGATCTCGCTGTGGTACGGGACGCCCTGCGCCGCGCTCTTGTTGTCTTTGTAGAAGCCCATCTCGTGGTTGTTGATGGCACAGTACACGTTATGCCAGGATCTGACGAGACACACACACATTAGCACACCTGGATCTGTGTGGTATTTTCATCAAGAAACCAATCCAGATGCTCCTGCATAAATTCAGCCGTGATCCCTGAGATGTCTACCATGGGATTTTCTCCGACGAACTGTTTTAAAAACGCAGATTCATGTGATGTGATCTTGATATCAGAGCCAAACACACACCGAAGACTCGCTCAAACTGACATGATGATTATGTCCAGATGAGACCTGCTTATTTCCAGATGTTCAGGGAAAGTATTATCAGCAAGGTTCAAACTAAATGCCAATAAGTAAAAACTGGGTTACACTTTAGTCCACTTTAGACATTCTACTAAGAGTAAGTAACTTTGCAACTACATGTCAATTGCAGTCATTAGAGTATTAGTAGACTGCCTGTTTAATAACTTCCAACACTTTATTTTGATGGGTCCACAACATACAACAAACTAACTATGAGAAACTTTGCAAGTATATGTCAACTTATTCTACTAACCCTAAACCTAACCTAACAGTCAAATCTGAGAGTTAGTAGACAAGTAGTTACAAAGTTACTTATAGTTAGTAGAATGTCTGAAGTGGACTATCAAAATAAAGTGTAATCACTTTTACAGTGCTTTCCGACAGAACTCAAGGCACTTGTCAAAGCATAATCATGCAAATACATGTAAACAAAACAAGCAAACCAAACAATATAACAATACATTAATGACACAACATAAGCCTAAGTGTGAATGAATCAGTCTAACTGGGTAAAATAATACATTTGTTCATAATGAATATGTATGATGGACGATAGAAAACTAAAAAGAAAAAAAAAAGGAGTTTTGTGTAAACTTCATACATTCTGGCCAGTAGATGTCAGTATAATGTCTATAAACAGTAATAGTATTGGGACAAATAAGACCCTGCAACCTTCAGCAAAGTGCAAAGTACCAAAAAATATATTTAAATTTCAGAGAAAACAAGCAAAAACAACAACAAAAACAGTTTAGATTGGTCTGGAACTGGACTTTTATTGAATAACCTTCTTTGACAGCAAGATACTCCCTGCACAAACAAAATTCAGAATTCTGGTAAAGAATTATGCACGATCAACACTCACATTACATACAGTATATTCAAAATAGTAGAGGGTATTAGAAAAGTGCAAATATTATGTATATGATCCATTTGATCAAATATACAGTGAATATTGCAAATGCCAGGAGTGTCGTCGTGGATTCTCTGCACAATCCAAACCGGCTACACACTTCAGTTTTGTTGCAACCCACCCTGTTTCAACAGGGTTCATCTTAATGTGGTAAACAGCACCTTAGAGGCCTCTGTTCTGCAGCAGGAAGTCTCCTCACTCCTCCTCAAGGGTGTGACAGTGGAGGTCCCTCCTTCAGATGTGAATCACGGCTTCTTCAGTGGCTATTTACTTGTTCCGAAAAAGGACTGAGGTCTGCGACTTATTTTACATCTGCAAGGCTGAATTTCTCTCTTTACAAAGGGAAATTCAAAATGCTAACACTGAAAGCTATTCTGGCTCAGGTTCGTTTGGGGCATTGGTTCGTCACTGTAGACCTGAAGGATGGTTACTTTCATATTCAGGTTGTTCAGCAGCACAGGAAGTTCCTCAGGTTCGCCTTTGGGGGAAAGGCGTACCAGTGCAGGGTTCTCCCCTTCGGTCTTGCTTTGGCTCCATGGATGTTCATGAAGTGCATGGCTGCTGCTCTGACCCCATTGAGACTCCAGGGCATCCGTGTGCTCAACTACCTGGACGATTGGCTCATCTTGGCCCATTCCAGGGAATTGGTGATCCGCCACAGAGACATTCTTCTTCACTACCTTCAATCTCTTGGCCTCAGGTTGAATGCTCAAAACAGTGTTCCACCTGTGACGTCACACACAAGGTTATTTATTTAGTCATTTAGCGATCAAGGAACGCTTGTGGCTGGAAACGTGTTTTGTCTTGGAGAACAGGTGGCATGGAAATGCCTGATAGGTACTGCCAGGGCACCAGTGTTGACGTGTCAAGGTAAGTGTTGGCCGCTTCAAGCTAGGCCATCACGTATCGGTGAGCATACTGCCTGTTTAATAACTTCCAACACTTTATTTTGATGGGTCCACAACATACAACAAACTAACTATGAGAAACTTTGCAAGTATATGTCAACTTATTCTACTAACCCTAAACCTAACCTAACAGTCAAATCTGAGAGTTAGTAGACAAGTAGTTACAAAGTTACTTATAGTTAGTAGAATGTCTAAAGTGGACTATCAAAATAAAGTGTAACCAGCAACTGTGCTTTAGTGAGTGTGTTAAACCAGTTGGCTTGTAACTTTAAGCATGTATACAGGGCCGTTTCTAGCCAATTTGACGCCCTAGGCGAAATCCCTATTGCCCCCCCCCA